GCCTCTGAGCCACAGCCGCCATTGCAATTGCAGGCTTGGCAAGGATCGGAAACTTCTAGCTGCATCTTTTGGATGGTCAATAAAAACAGGAGAGTTCTCACAGTCGCTGCCATGAGGGAACAATTTTTTTTTCTGTTTGAGTAAATGTGCTCAATGACTTCCTCTTTAGGCAGAATCTGAGAAGTGAAAGGGTACAAGTGAACGGAAAACAGATAATTTTACCCAAATACTCACAATGCAGTGTGACTTCTTTGAAGCACTGAACTCCACCCAGACTGTAGTTCTGCCCCGTCAGAGCTTTTCAACGAAACATCATTTCAGCACTAACCTGTAAACAATCCACTCACACCAGACGGACGCACCATGGATTTCGCCAAAATAAAAGCTTGTTTTTGTTTTTGATGTTAACCTGGCGTCCGTCCTTAAATCTTAATAAAGGCCATGCAAATTTAATCCATGTAAACAGGCACAGGTGAGTGGACTGTGGGGGATGACTTATTTATGGAGGCCTATCTGACTGAGACCTGCTGGCTGATGGAGCAGGGGGGGCAGTAATGTGTGTCCAACCACTCATCAGCCTGATTGCGTGTGAATGTCGCCACGCTTGATTGCTGATTTACACCACAGAGAATTATACAGGTGGTCGAGTCAACATGAAGACACAGTGAGGTCCTGATGAGGGTATCTAGATTAAGTCTCCTACACCACAAGATGATACCCCAAGAGATTATCTGCTCACTTCCTCCTCTCTGTCTCTCAGTTCAGTTATCTGCAGAATATTGATACTTCTTAGCACACAACTGCACACGAGATTAGCTCCTGTGTGGCCTGAAAAAATGAGCATGTTTCCTGACTGAATGCGAGGATTTCACACAGCAGAGACATAACCACTGTAAAAACAGATGATTACAGCCCAGCCATGTTTGGGTTCGGTACCAGTTAAAAAATATTTTTGGCTGAAATGTTCAGGACAATTCAAAACTAAGTGCCTGAACCAGAACGGAGTCGGTTCCCTGCTGATGGAAAAGGCCTAACAAAGAAGTCCTAAAGGTGCTCAGAGTCGTGGCAAGTTAGAACATCTACATTTCCATGGCAACTGAGTAAACTTGACATACTCATGATAATATTGTGATACAGGCAAAAGCTCAAGAACAAGAGAGTAATGGTAAGTATCCACGGGGGAATTATTGCATGTTAAGGGCATTAGATGCTTTAGTCAGCTGTGGCTGGAAGTTAAGTTGGTTGTCCACTAATCAGAACGTTGGTGGTTTTTAAAGTAGCTTAGACCTTAACTTTATGAAATGAGGGGCGGCCAACGGACTGCCCGTCTCACAAAACGCACCATGGTTCTACCAGAATGTATTGCACGACTGCTTACGTAGACAATCAATGGAAATAGTTGGTTTCTATAGCATTCAGATGACTGAATTTCACCATGAGGAAATATGTCGAAGGTTCCCCTCAACATATTTCATGGCAAACATTGTACTGAAGCTATTGAAAACTAAATTTTTATATGTATTATTTTTTGTATGTGCACCGTGGCAGACTTAAACTGTCCAGAGAATGTCAGTGAAGTGTGTTGTGTGTTAGATATTAAGGAAATTCAAAAGGGAGCCTAAAATAAATATTTCCATTAATCTATTTGGCTCTCACATTTTAATTTCATTAATTGGACCAAAGAATGACAAAGAACTTGAACTACTGGAGAAGTAAATCCTTGATTTTAACTAAGAAACAGTGAACCAGAACAGAACAATAACACCGGTAACAACAGCAACAACTACCACAACAACAGCAGCAGTCAAGGTAGAGAACATTATCAGTTAGAGAAAAGACCACGAGACAGAAAGAATAGAACAGCTGGCCCCAAACTGCCAACATCTCTCACCACAAAAAATACCTCTAAATGAAAAGGCAACATGTCAGACAAGTAGCTCCTCTCTTTCCCTAACTCCCTTTAGTTTCTCTCTGTTTCTACCTCCTTTGCTTCTTCTCGTCCTCGTCTACTCTGTGACTGCTCACACTTCTCTGTCACCGAGCGAGGGCTGCCATGACAGTTTCAGCACTCTGTCTCCGTCTCCTCTGTACGCCGGCGGCAGCGCTGAGTCTGCACTCCTTCACCACAAACACTTCTTCATTCTGTTTATTTCTCCTCGTCTTCGTCTTCCCGCAGAACGGTTCCTCTGCTCGGTATTAAACAGGCTAAATGAGGACATGCTTTTATAAGGCAGAGGCTTTGAGTGTACCCCAGTTTACGTTACATCGCAGAAGAAAGAGGACGTTGTACCGTCGCTTTCTGTCACTCTGACAATCTGTCAGACGCACAGTGATTGAATTTAGACGCTTTCTCTTTCTCTCCCTTATTCTAAATCTAATTGAGGAAAACTTTTTGGAGTTACCAAACTTCTACCAACACATGTGGAACTATTACTGATCCTGAAAACGTCAGCATTGGAGATTTGTTCAATGGTTAAAACAAACCATGTCTATGTTTTCCTGAATAGCGAGCAGTTAAAGTAATGTTTCCAGACCCCGGATTTGCTGTATCTATTTTTATCTATTTTTCAGCAATCCAAATAGGTCAGGTTGATAGAGCTTGTTGGAGGATTAAAGGATGGTCAGTCATTCTGGAGAAAGTTCTCCCAGGTCGTCAAATACTGACACTTTGGGTTATGGTAAATGGGAAGCCACACAATAACAACAGGTGGCGTTCATGCTCCCAAGTTGTCAAATACAGACTTCTTTGCATTGAACAATCAACTCTCTTTAACCAGATTGACTGACCCCAACTTTAAGAATGAGAATGTCCCTGTGCGTGAGGCGACAGAAAAGTTGTCACAAATTAGATTGACACAGCTGTACAGAAATAACTTAAATCGACATATGTATCGACAAACGGTAAGTTAATAGAAATCCTTCAGCGCAGGTCCTGAAAACTATGTCAAACAGGATACAGGATGGATATGTCAGTCTCTGATTAGGGTTGAGCGATACGTGCAGATGAAAAGATATAAACAAATTGGGGTCCATGGGAATAAACTCCAGTAAGAAACAACCATCATTGTAAAATGTTAACTGTCATTAATCTTCATCATCTGAAATAAAAACTCATTGTTATTATTTTAGGAAACTTACAGTGAATTTGATTATTGTGTAAAATGAAAATAGACAGACCACATGAGGAAAACTGTGTCTCCTTCAAAATAACTACAGTAAGTAATTTAAAGTGTGATTCTTTAAATTACAACCCCTGGCAAACATGAACTCAATAAACAGTTCCACCCCGATTTCACCTAGATATTGTCTGATTTGCTGGGTCTAGCTACCTGTGAAGTGTCTGCTAAAGACCTTGCTCTGAAAGAGTATCGTGCGAAGGAGAAGTTCCTTTTTCATTTTCTGTCCAGAGTCTGTCCCCGCTCCTGCCTGGCAAACATGACAGAACCCAGTTAACAAACATTACGCAGAGACACACACACACTGTCCCTCCGTCTGGGGGGAAGCTACCTTTTAGATGTGCATCAGTCCGGACAGTGTGTGTCTGCCTCTGGGTCCAGGTCCTGAGTGTGTGTGTCAGGTTCAGTGACACCTCAGTCACTTCGGCTCTGCAGCTGCACCATCTTCGCCACCGTGAGTGCCTGCGCGGCATTTTGCGGGTGCAGAGACAGAGTGCATGACAGCGGGCAGCGTGGTCTGTGAGAGATCCACCCTCAGGACTGAAGAGGAATCAGTCGGAGAGAAAAACAGCTCCGGCGTCCAAATGTGACACGATTGTGTTTAAAATCTGGTCCGGCTTCATGTAGTGTGACATTTATACAGTCCTGCTGAGAGTAAGGGACAGACTGAGAACAGCACTGAGTGAATGGATACTGATCTGAGAGTCCAGAGGACGTTTTATAGTTGAATGGAAAAACAAGGGAAGTCTTTAGGGAGGCGACATGCGGAAGTTATGTGCTTGAGAACACTGTCGTACCATATAATGATGCTTGGGAGATCCATCTTCAATGTTTTACAAAGTGATTCATTATTTCTCCAGTTTGTTTCACTGGTGAACTATTTTACTTCAAATAATACAACAAGAATCATAACCAAGATTTAAGAATAATAAATGGATGTGAATGGGAATCAGAATTAGTGACAACCAGAAGATCAATATGAAACAACAATAACAACAAAAAAACATTTGAAAATGTTTCAAACTTCAGTCATGGTGTAAATGTATGATATTATTTCTACATTTAAGCTTAGTCTCAAGGGAAATTCCAATCTGTTTTTACCAATTAAACCAAACCCTAACCCTCTAAAAAAAAAAAAACCTGGCCCCAAACAAACTTACTAACTAACTAGATGAAAATACAAATTTGTAGTAATGTTAAATACCTTTTTTAACACTTTACATAGTAAAATCTAAAAATCTGTGGGTTTTTAGGGATAAGTGTGAACCGGAGACTGAAGGAATGCGAGTGTGTCTTTGTGTGTGTGTGTGTTTGGTGCAGGAAGTGAGTCTGTGGTATGGCTGCAGGCCAGGCTGAGTGG